GCAAAAGTGTTTCATGTACATAGCACAGGAGGAGAAAACATTGTGATTGGAACACGTTTAAGTTTCTGAAAAGCCCTTTCTTTAGTTAGCATACACATTTTATTTAAAAAAAGTTTTTTCATCAGCCTCAGTTTGAGTTCCTGTATCCTCTAACAGGAAACACATTGAAGTGTTTCCCTAATAATTGCAGGAATGAATTTGAAAGCAGCTGCCATGTCTAAACAGCCCACAGATAAAATGTTTTTCAGCTGGTTGTATGGCAAAAAAAATCTCTTGTTTAAACAACTTAACACTTCTTTACACAGTTTAGTACAATGTAAAGAGTAAATTACAAAAAAATCCTGTAATTTAATTGGTGAATAGTGCTGTTAACCACTTAATTACTTGCTGATGGGGAAAAAAAGAGTTTTTAAAACATTCCACGTAGCTGAAATTATTTCTCTAGTTTTTGGTATAGCTTTCCTTTCAGGTATGTACAAAATGCTGCCCAGTACCATTTGGATCGTACAGCAAAAGCAAATAAGAATACTGAGAGAAATAATGCATTGGATGTCATGCTGACATGAGCTTCGTGGACTGGAATGAAATGCTATAACAGCCACAGAACATTTATTTTTTAAGGATGATCAGTGTTGGCTTGAGATCAGTTCTCCCCTAATCTTTTCATTTAGGTTCACTGCAACATTTTGCATCTGGAACTGGGGCTCAGGAGATTTCTGTGCACCGAGGGTTGGCTTGTGTTCTGTGTTTCTAGTTTTTCTCCAAAACCAGTTCTTATCTCATGGTCACTTGGAACAGGGTCCACTAAGGACTCTGAGTCTAAGTAGGCTAGAAGCTGATGCCAGCATCAGCCACGGTTCTCACGGTTCGGATGGAAGGCTCCGGAGACTGATTCTGGTCAGAATTTGGGGATGCGCTTGTCATTCTGGACATCTTCGTTTGCTTCTCCCCCAGGGCTGGGTGGCATGGATGGAATAGGGCCAGACTACTAGATTAAAGAGCAAGTGGGTAGGTCAGGAGTTGGCTGGTGTGATATGTAGCAACTGTTTATTTGTCAAAAAGTCGTGCAAATTTGGAATCTCTCTGGAAGAGTACGTGGAAAGTGCATTTTGAACTCCCTAGCCTAAACTCTCCAGATTCTCAATTTCAGGCTGACATTGCTGCAATAGCCATTATGCTTGGATCGACTCTTTCTGTTGATGTTATGTTGTATAATTACTACAATTATATCTGTTGCTAGTTTTCTTACATTTGAAAAAAGTTAACTTTCAATTGAAGCAGAGTACTCTTTCAGCTTCATAGATCTTTTTGTTTTTCTATCACCCCAATATGTTTGTTGATTCTATTTAAAAACATTTCTTACATGTCAGACAGGCAGCAATTTTAATTATGTGAAAGGGCCTTGTATGTGTTCAAGGCCTTTTGTCACACTGTAGCTGGACTTTCTTTGGCTTTTCATAAAAACAAAACCTTCCGGTTAGTTCTGCTGCACTGAACGCTTTTCCCTTTTCTGGCGTTTTTAATTCATTCTGAATTGTGACCTTGACTGATAACAACGTGATGGCTAATTGAAATAACGAGCTCCAGATACAGCACGGCAACTGTGCCGCCTCGTACCAGCAGGCAGTTCATGTCGTGCACGTGACTGTGAAGTGACCCAGACTGGCCAGAGCTACCGAGAGGCAGTGGCCCACACAAAGGGAACGCCATAAGCCTGGGTAAATATAAAGTTGGATAAATATAGAATAAGCCAGAGACCCTCCCCTTCCTTCACTCCATTGAGTGCTCAGACTCTCCAAATAATAAGCCCAGAGCTTTGCTGAAAATAGCTACAGCTTTCTGCTGTAGATTTCAGGAAGTGAGAGATGGAATAATGTGTCAGTGAAACCTTGTGCAAGTTCCTTTCAGTCATGGTTCCAGAAGATGAGACTTATTTTCCATTAAGGAAGACCTGCACAGACCTAGATCTGTTTGTATGAAATTTCAGTTTATTTACCAGCTGGCACAGTTCATGCTTCCAGTGGCGTAAACAGTGAAAAACACAAAATCCTAATGACATGGATGAAGGGCAGTGGGTTGTATCTGACCAGCCACTCGGAGTATCATGGGTTGACAATAGCTGTGGCATCTTAATGAAAGTGTCCTCATGCATACTGGAATGCCCCTCAAAAGAATCCTTATTTTTTATAAGCCTGAGGAGATTTGCTTAACTCTCCTCTCTTAACAGCCGTTTGAAGCACACACGTTTACTGTGTTTTATAGAACTGTCTGATATTTAACTCTTTATATCCATACAGTTTTATCTGTTATACTGTATATGGATATAACTTGTAGTGATTGCCTTGCTTTCTATCTGTTAAGCTGTTGCACCCCTGCACTCGGGTGCAGTGTTGTGCAATATTATAATATGTCCAGATGCGCACACCGGCAGCCTCCAAGAACAGTTTGCAGAGCTCCAGTAATAATAATAATAAAAAACTTTATTTTATATAGCGCCTTTAAAGGTGGCTTCTCAAAGCGCTTTACAGGATGACAATAACAATAAATAAGAAGACTACGACGATAAATAAGAAGATTTCACAAGATAGGACACAATTATAATTACAACAATAACAATAGAGGAGACCGTGGAAGGTGGTATTAAGAAGAGCAGAGGGGTGAAGAATGGAACCAGTTAAGTAAAGGCTTTTCTGAAGAAGAAGGCTTTGAGTCTAGATTTGAAGGAGTTTAGAGAAGGTGACTCTCTGATATCCTTGGGCAAAGAGTTCCAGAGCTTGGGGGCATAGCAGGAGAAGGCCATGTCGCCCATACAATGTAGACGGGCTTGGGGGACAGTAAGGAGGGCAGAATTTGAAGAGCGGAGGTTGCGAGGTGGGGAGTGGGGCGATAAAAGTTCAGACAGGTATTGAGGTCCAAGCCATGTAAAGCCTTATAGGTGAGCATGAGGATTTTAAAGTCTACGCGGAATTTGACCGGAAGCCAGTGCAAGGACTCCAGGATAGGAATAATGTGAACACTTGCACTAGACCTGGTAAGGATTCTGGCTGCTGAATTTTGGACATACTGCAGCTTGTTCAGAGTAGATTTAGATACCCCAGGGAGCAGAGCATTGCAGTAGTCAATTCGAGAGAATACAAATATGTTGATCACCTTTTCAGCCACAGTTAATGATAGCATAGGGCGTAGTCTTGCGATATTTCTAAGGTGAAAAAAAGAAGTTTTGATAGTATGGTGCACATGTGGGTCGAATGTTAAGCCAGAATCGAATATAACCCCAAGGTTTTTCAATTTTGATTGAAGCTCAGAGCCATCTACAGAAGGGGTTACAGGACTGGCTTTACGAAGTTGATGGGGGGGGGTATCAATAAGCATGACTTCAGTCTTGTCGCAGTTAAGATGAAGGAAGTTTTGAGTCATCCAAATTTTTATGTCAGATATGCAATTAGATAGAATAGAGACAGCCACATCAGTGTCGGGTTTGGTATGGATGTATATTTGAGTATCGTCAGCATAAAAAAAGTAGTTTACAAAATTGTGTTTTCCTTTATTTCAAATTGTGACTCTTCTTAGCTGTTGTGGGGGATATGATGCAATGCCTTCCTCCTCTCCCTAAAAGAGCATAGAGGATGTCTGGCTTCAGCAGCAGCATGGGTTTGGCTAGAATGGAAACATTTATCCTTTGATCAGGCAGGAAACTTGAATGGTATTGTGTTATTTGGAGTTTCAAGTGTTAAAAAGGCCTTTAACCTTGCTCACTTTTGAATCTTCTGTTCATGGTTCAGTAATTATTTGCATACCTTCGAATAGTTTTTTTCTTCATAGAGACCTTGGAAGTTATCAACAAATAATATTCTGCATTTTGTTTGTGTTAAAGGAATTTCAGAGACTGTGATTGCTTTCATTTTAATGTTTCCAGAATCATTTCAGTGCACATTGTTATATGTCCTTTCTGAAGCCGGTCACAAGGACAAGCTTCCCTGTTGATCTCTTGAAACTGAACGCAATCTGATCAACCATGTCAAATATAAAAGCCAAATCTTTCACATATTTTAAATTAATTCAGTGTAGTTATTTATTAGAGTAATAAACTGAGTTTGTTATGGATTCGGTGCCTATGTGAACCTTAGATACAGAGTAGAATGTCTCATTGCCCACTTAGTTATGAAACACTTTTCATACGATTTAAACTGATCTTGAAAAAAAAACATTACAAAATCAAGCTTGTTTTCTATAAAATTATTTTAAATGAAATGTTTTGCTCACTAGCAAGGTATGCCATACTGTATTGTCTTAACAAAGGGCACTTTGAGGTAAAAGTAGAAGTACTAACTATCAATTTCAGAATATCTTGTTATGCAGAGTAACTTGTAAAACTTTCAACTTTAGAACAATTTTGTAATATTTTCATAGCTAGAGTGACAATTTACAATTTTTAACTTTTTAACAGTCTTCCCATAAACGATGAATTAGCCACCTAATTATCTGACTGTGACTACTTAGGATAACTGTTGAATTGTTTCTTAATTTCCAGTTTTGCTCAACACAGTTCACTTTTAACTAGAGCATTTAGGATGATATAGATCCTGCCTGTAGCACTTCTAGTTAGTTTGTGTATGGTATAGTTCTTTTTAGTTTATTGATCTTGAGATGCTGTGCCTCCCTTCCTTCCAAAAAAAAGAAAAACCTTTTATTTATTTTATGTAGCCCAGCAGTAATCTTTGAGAAAATGCCTTTAGCACATAACGGTAAGATCTTGCTCCTGATTTAACAATTGACTCCCTAGATAATAATAATAATAGCTTACACTTATATAGCGCATTTCTGGACACTCCACTCAAAGCCCTTTACAGGTAATGGGGACTCCCCTCCACCGCCACCAATGTGCAGCCCCACCTGATGACACTGATGATGACACTGGCTTCATTGTTACTTTATTTTAATTTCTTAAGCAGCATTATGTTCTCTCAGCAGTTCAATAAGTTGTTATTTTTATTTTACAGGCTCAGAATAAACAGACAGGGATCCTGGCAGCCGCAAAGGTGATCGACACGAAATCAGAGGAAGAGCTTGAAGACTACATGGTAGAGATTGATATTCTGGCATCATGCGACCACGCTTACATAGTCAAACTGCTGGATGCCTTCTATTATGAAAACAAATTGTGGGTAAGTACTTGTTTCTGAGAAAACCCTCCTTGTACCGATTTTGTCCACTCACGTTCACCTTTTTAACAAAAGGACAGTAGAGCACTGAATGTACCCATTCAGTGGATGAAATACATTTTGAGTGAAGTAATTTTGCAATATCCTGTTAGGGGAGCTGAACTTATGAGCAGAACTGAGATGTGTCTTGAGAAGTGCATGTTCCTGTCCTTGAGAGTTGTGGAAAGTGCCACCTAACAGTGACACAAGATTTCCGGACATCGGGGAGTTAACAAATTTCTATGATATTGCAGTTCTACTGTCTTTTCCCTCTAAAAGAACTAATGAACCTGGCAGGTCTTAAACTTAACCAGGTCATTCTAAAAACAACACAAAAAACGGATATTAGCTAATACATGAACAAATGCTGTATTACCTTTTTAAACTTTAAAACCTACTCTCCAAACAGTTTTCTTAATATCATTTAATTCAGTCATTCATATCATGTAATTACTTTTAACTAGATCATTGTAAAATTAGGTTTTGCCCTTGTCAAACCTAATCATGGTAGTTAACTAAAATTTCTGATGATGTCTAAAAAAGGACTTGTAGTTGAGGTAGTTTTGTTCTGAGGAATGACGGCGTCATTGTTTTTTCTATTGCTCACATAATTAAATGCTCCCAGCAAATCCAAGATTTAAGTTAAAAGGTCTTATTGGTAATATACTACTATGAAAAAGTAAAAATGTTTGTGACTTCATAAACTGCAGGCAGAAAAGCTCCACCTCCCTCTCTTCTCTGCCTGTCAAGGTATTCTTGCACAGTGCATCAAGACTTTATGCACTTTATGCACATCATCATCACTTTGTGGTATCATTAGTCTATATGAATATTTAAGTACTTTGTTTAAATTATGCAGGCCTCTTTTGAGTGCCTGTCATCACTACTTAGTCTTCTATTAAATTCTCCCCCTGAAATGTTGCATACCAAATCGCAGGCAAGTTTTATACAGTGCTTACTAGAATGCAGTTCGTTAGAAATGATTTGCCAAGAATGAGATTGAAACAGTTTCTGTTTTTGCATTACCAGATTGTTGTGGTGTTGAATATGATGGTTTAGGCTTCTGATAGCTTGGTTTGCTAATGTTTGTAGTTTAAATAGAATCTCTTTAAAAGCAAAATCCAATGTCGTGTTGACCAAGTGGTTTCAGGTAACGTCCTCTCCTGTATGCATACATGAGAGACCAAGAGAAGATTATAAATGGTTTGGGAAAAATGTTCATGAATAAATTAGCAGCACATTCAGTGTTTCATTCCCAGCTCGGCCTGGGAGTAATTTACATTTATCATCCAGTATTAAGAGACGTGATGAGCACACAGAAGTGTTGACAGTATAAAAATGTAAAGCTATGGTGTAGTTATCAGTAGGAATGTATCCGTTTACCCTTTCCTTTTACTTTTCTTCTTGCGTGCAGTTCTCAAGTAACGTTGTGCTTCACAGTGTATTCGCTGCTAGGGTGTGCATTGATTTTGATGTGATCTGATACCCGAGGCATTGAATGGATCAAGCCATTGGCAGTGCTCCTGGGGATGTCAGGGCACAGGGATGACCTTGAACCCCTTTATTGCTTGCGCCTTTTGAAAGACTAGTATTGCCAGCGTAGAACAAGTTTTTAACCTTATTTTCTTCAAGGATTGTCTTTTTATTCAGAGACGTCACATTTTTTACTTTTCCAAGGAATGATTTTACAAACTTTAAACCAAATTTACAAGTGTTTATTAGCATATTGCTCAAATGCCCTTGTTTCATTTTCTACACACTGTAAAATATGCATGTTAATTACTTTCATCTATCCTGCAGAGTATGTATGAATTATAACCTACCTTAGTCACTTGAAGACAGGGAATATACTGGAAGATGAAAGGTCTTTATCACATTGAAATGTGTTTTCCTTTCCACTGGATACGACAGTGTTATTGTAAGTGATTCAGTTTTGTTAAGATGTCCAATACATTGCAGTTCCAGCTATGCTGAAAAATATCGAATCCAGTCAATCTTTGGGCCACCTTCACAACACTTCGATGAAAAGCTTTCTTATTTGTTTGGGGGAAAAAACATACCTAATATGACAAGATGAAATGGGGTAATAAGAATATTGCAATGTTTACCATAAAAAGTGTCAATTCTTTCAGAGGAATAGCTAATCTACAGAAAATGGTTTACCAATCTAAATCTTTATTTTGAATTTAATGTCCGTTCCAAGCATTAGATATTTTTATAATTGCAGAATGATGTGTACCTTTCATTATAGTTTGCTTCTGGTTTCTGTCAGCTGAATAATTGAATTTTAAGTATTATGTACTTAAGAGGATTCACTGTTGCTTAAAAAAAGCAAGATAGAGTAGCAGTAGTTTTTTTTAAAATGCATTATAGAAGATTAAATGACAGCTTTCTCAGTCATTAAAAGTGATCATGGTCAAGTTATTTTTAAAGTAATTTATCATCGTTTCATCAGATACACCCTCAACGTTTAAGACTATACAACAAAGTTTATTATTCATAGGTACAGGATTTAGTTTTAGGGGTTCTCTAGTTCTAGTTCTCAGTAGTGGTTGGTACCAGTATTTTAAGAACGAAAAATGTTAAGATCTGCAGTTTGCCTGGAGGCTTTATGTGAAACAGTTGTCAGTATTAGTCCTAAGGCAGCCATCTGTCTGATAAAGAGGACCTGTGCATTACTTTGCAATGGATGTTGAACTGGAACTACCTTTTTGTACATTTGCCGCTGTGGGAGTCATTAGTGAAAAGTCTGTACTAGTTTTGTTTTTTTAAGTAACTTGGGAATAAAAAAGCCTTTGTGCACAAAAAGGGTGAAAGAAAGCTTGAATGCTAATTAGACTTCACTGAGCTGTAGCTGCCTTCCCAGTACCACATGAATGGGTCTTAAGAGGTTATATCCACAATGTGGGTGAGAAAACCACAAGCTTTTCATTTCCCAACTTACTGTTGTGATTGAACTGTGGGAGCTATTGTCAGTGAAGTCAGCCTTGCTTATGATAGCTCACCCCATTGAAACAACAATGAGGGGCACCAGCATGAATAATTTTGCCTGTTATTTCCTCCATAATGCTTATTACTCACATTTCCAAGAACCCTTAAAACGATTGCATGTGGTTGTGGATCGGTAGAATACACAAGAATTGTTGGTAACTTTTTATTTCCTTCACAGTCCTACAGTGTGATTTTGCATATACAATTTCAGTTTTCTCGAAAAATGTGTTTTTAAAGTACTGTATTTAATTTCCATTTTTAATCACTTAAGAAAATGTAGTTCAGTAGGTTGTGATAATAGAATCTTGCAATTTTTGTAAATGGAAATGCTATATACATCAATAAATTTCATCAAGATTACCATTGAATTTACTGCTTTGTTGTACTACCAGTTAATTCTTATCTGTTTTTATTAATACTAAAGAAATTGCCTTCCTTCTTAAGGAAATGATAATTCACTGAGTCACTGTGGTGATGTATTGGTGAGTCATAATGTAAGGGTTCAGAAAATATAAACGAATAAGCATGATCTTGGTTACCATTCTAAAGAAAGTGAAATGCAATTCTGATACAGATAAAAAGTGTTCATTATTTCCGTACACATCCACGAAAATAAAGAGTAACATGAGTTCTGTTGTAAATACATTGTATAAATTACACTGCGTGCCATGTTGGAGAACATTGCACATTTTCACATTTTCTCTTTAGGAATATACTTTTAAAAGGAGGGAAATCAACTGCATGTGTTGATATTATACAACTTAAGTAATCCAAATACTGTCCATGGCTAATTTTAGTCTCCAGAACGTAAATAACTAGACAGGCACAGACGCAAGTAATCCCAAGACACTGAATTATGGTTAATTAATTGCTTGTTTTAATTTGTCAGAAACCTCTTACACTCTATCCTGATAAGTGCTTCCAGCTATGTTATTTGTTTTAAACTTTTCTTTAAACAGACTTTAGTTATCTTCTTTGACAAGCCATCAGTATTTTAGTCAGTTAAAAGGGTGCATCTTGTGTTGAGGGTTATTATTGTATTGTTCAGGTATTAGCAACAGTGAATTGGGAATGACTAACTCCCTGTCTATGTACTATTTTCTATATACTTCCAACGTTACATGTAAACCACCTGGTATGCATGGAAACTCTAATCCTATTTGGAAGCCTAAGTTGTGGCACAGTATGCTTTGTTAAGGAGCCCTCCTATAAACCCTCTTACGTCATCAGCCATATTGAGAGATGTAAAATCTTTTAATACCCAACATGTTTCTTTCTTAACTGTCTCGGTCTTTAATCGTTTAGAAAGCTTGTAAGGAAATATAATCATTAGGGTGGGCTGTTTTGAAAGAGGTTCCGCCACAGTGCAACTTTAAATTCGCTGCTCAACCACTTTCCATATACCTTTTTCTTACGAGGCTTACCATGACCGTTGCATACATATGTGGTTTTGCATGTTTACATGGTGCTAATTGTAATAAGAAATTGTTTTTTTTTGTAACTGGTAACTACAATCTATAGTTCAAAATGCAGTCATGTGTGCCTCATAACCAGCACCAATCCTAGTAGGGTCTGTCTTGGATTCTTTACAAAAACCCATCTAGCTGTATAAAGGAACAGCACTGAAAGAAAGATTATGACATAAAGTAATTTTAATGTTTAATGAAAAGTATTTTCTGTCCTGCAGATTTTGATCGAGTTTTGTGCTGGGGGAGCCGTAGATGCAGTTATGTTGGGTAAGTATTTTCTGTCCCAAAGATTCCTAGCATCTGAAATCATATGAAAATAAAATCCATAGAATTGGAATCTATATTCTCACACATCTGTTCTAATCTTTTGAACTTTATAGCTTCTGAATTATTTCACCTTTACAATTCATTGTTGAAATGCAGTTTTATAGACTTAGAGACCACCGTTTATCTATATTCCAGGAAATTCCTCACTGCCTTTTTCTAGACCGCTACACTTTTGAAAGTCTCCTTAGTTGTGCTTATGAAGGACTCCATATTCTTCTCCAGTTAGGAAATGCATCCAAGGATTGTGGCTTTTCCTGCCAATGGATAAAGCCCGATGCTCACAATTAGTATAATTCAAAGACATTATTGCTACCACAGAATTAAAACAAAAATCTTGTGGCCTTTTCTTGTTTTTTAAACACATCAGCATTTTCAGTAGGTTACTTGAAACAGTCTAGAAAAGTCTCACCACAGCCTTTAACTGCTTTTTATTCTGCTGATGTTCACCGCACTGTTTAATAACCACTTGTAACTAGACCTTGATGCCTGTCGACTGCCTGTATACCAAGATACTCAGCTCTCCAAGGTCTGGTGTTTTTCCCTCACTGATAAACTGAAAACAAGAAACTGCATTTGTCCCGGAGGGAAAGATTTCTAAATGTAATACGTAGCTAGAATAGTGTAATGCAATGAATAATGAATGTTACTGTTAAACTGTATTTTGACGATAGATTTTTGAAGTAAGGTTTGAAATATTTCTTTTTTTTTTCTAATTGCAGAGCTAGAGAGGCCTCTGACAGAGCCCCAGATCCGGGTCGTGTGTAAACAGACTCTGGATGCCTTGAGTTACCTTCATGAAAACAAGGTTATTCACAGAGATCTGAAAGCAGGGAATATCCTCCTGACTTTAGATGGAGATATTAAACTGGGTATGAGCTCTTGGCATGTACTGTTTTTTTAATTTTGTTTGGGAAGAATCGCTTTTTGTAGGCTTTTATTACAGAGCCAAGAAAAGATTTGTGAACCCCCTAGGCTAGACCTTACTCTCATATTTTATACCAGAAACATGACTCAATCTTTGTGTAAGTCTTAATAAAAGTGGGATAACCTGATTAAACAGATGTAACACAACCACATAAGATGTACTTGGATTATTTAATTAACAAAATGCTACAAAAGTAAATCTCCTCCTGTGAATAGGAATGTAAACTCTTGCCATCTGTAAATGTTGGCACCTCCTTCAGCAGCACTGACTTGAGCTAGACGTTTCCTCTAACCGTTTATCAGTGACTCGCATCAGCTTTTAGGAATTCTGGCCCATTCTTCTTTACAGAGCTGCTTCAGATCAGTGACATTTGAAGGTTTCCTTTCATAAATAGCTTGCTGTAGTTTAATGGGGTTTAAATTTTAAGTTCTGGCTTAACCAATCCAAAATTTCATTTCCTTCAGCTGTTTCAGATCTGTTTGTATGTATGTTAAGGATCATTGTCATGCTGAATGAAACACTTTTGGCTCAATTTCAGCTAAGAAATTAATAGCAAATTCTGGAGGAAAATGTCAGGCTGATACAGTTCTGAATTTATGGCTCCATCAATGATGCCAAGTTATCTTACACACGAGGTAGCAAAGCAGCCCCAAACTGCAGTGCTCCTACTATTATGCTTGACGTTGGCAGGTAATTGGCCCTGGGTGGAGTCAGCATGCTCTTATGCATTTTTCATCTGTACACTATCGATGTCACAGTAGACTGATGGAGCTCTAAATGTTTAGAAATGGTGTTGTAACTCTCTCCAGACTGAGCATCAACTACTCCTTTCTGGGATCCTTTGAAATCTTTACACAAAGTGTTTCCACTAATCTATATAGTGAATACCAAACTCGCAGTTTCTGACCCTTTTTTGTAAGATGGGGCTGCCCAACCTTAGTCCTTGTTGAATTCAGTCCGGTCATTTAACCCTATTTTTTTCTTTCACACAGTCTGATTCTTCCACCCATCCATTTTCTAACCACTTTATCCAATACAGGGTCACAGGGGAGCTAAAGCCTATCCGAGCAAGCAATGGGTACAAGGCAGGATACACCCTGGATGGGACGCCAGTCCATCACAGGGCAGACACTCAGACACAAACATGCACAGCCGTACAACAGAGCCAGTTTTCCCTGAATGCATCAGCACAGCTAATCATTGCACCACCATGCCACGAACTCAGCATCTTAATTATTTTTTTCTACATCGTACACCATTGCAGAAAACAATAAATGAAAAAAAACATTTTCCTTAAGCAGAAAGAAACTAATTTCCATAATTACATTGGGAGTTTGCAGACTTTTCTCAGCACTGTATGTCCACTTCTTCCCTAGACTTCACCTTCCAGGTGACTGTGCTTTCTATTTTTCTAATTAAAATTGAGCAGAAAGAGTTGAAATCCTAATGTTAAGTGATTGTTTTGAAACTTTTTAAGCTTGTCTGGGGTTTGTGATTTTTTTTTTTGTACCACCGGTTTGGATCAGGAAATAATTTTTATGTTAATTGGCAGCTAACATCAATTATGTCGTTGCATGGCAGCGATGCTTGCAAATATCAAGACATTCTAATCTTTAATGTTGTTTTTTTTATTCTCCAAAAAATTAGTTTTGTTTTCTGTTTCTATGCACATGATTATAGACTTCTCTTGAGATTTAAATAAATCTATTCACTATTTCATGAGCCGCACTTACCATTTAACCAGGATCCTAAGCTTAGAATGTCATTCTTTCTGTATCACAGAAGTATCATGGTACACAAAACAATTGGAATAATTGTGGCTGTGCCCTAGATTACTCGCAAAGTTCTTCCCTTTAAAAGCTTGTGGTGTTTGTTTTCTGCTCTTTAGCCAAACCTGGCTCTTAAACAAGAATGATTGTGCTTTTCAGCTGACTTTGGCGTGTCTGCTAAGAACACAAAAACACTACAGAGAAGAGATTCTTTTATTGGGACACCGTACTGGTAAGCTACATTTTTATTTTCCATGATAGTTTTAAAGTGGTGCATTGAAACCTTAAAAGTTTTGTTAAGCCTGAAGTAAAACTTAGTTGTTTAAAAAAGGCAGTTGTTTTTCAGTGCTGTATATAAGCATGTGCAGTTGTTTATGACCTACTGTGTATATAATGTCTTTATTCACAGGATGGCTCCAGAAGTGGTAATGTGTGAGACTTCCAAAGACAGGCCCTATGATTACAAAGCTGACATCTGGTCTCTGGGAGTCACTTTAATTGAAATGGCACAGATAGAGCCTCCTAACCACGAGTTGAATCCAATGAGAGTTTTGCTGAAAATAGCCAAAGCAGACCCTCCCACATTGATGCAGCCATCACGATGGTGAGTTTTTCATTATAAATAAAGCTCATCTTCTTCTCTAAGTTAACTATTTGGTATACACTGCTGTTGGTGTCAAAAATACTGCCAGGCTTCTCCGTCTGGATCCTATAGACTCAAGTGTCTGAAGGTTTTCATTGCACCTGAGCTCTTCATTACTTAATAGACCCTTTCTTGAACTAATATTGTGATTAATATGGACATTATATTATTATCGGTGAACCCAGGAATTTCTTAGCCGTTTGAACTGATCTCTGTGGTCTTGCAGGTCTCCAGAGTTTAGCGATTTTCTTAGGAAAGCGCTGGATAAGAATGTGGATAACAGATGGAGTACCTCCCAGCTCTTGCAGGTAAACATCAGACGTTTCACGTCCCTGTGTTTCATTTCATATGTAGCCTTTGGTATAACTTGTATTTCAAACATGCCAATTGCCCCTTAAGAAAATAAAAAGTCTCTTCTTTGCACAAAAATGCTCCAAGCATTAAAAACTTTAAATTTCCTGCCTTCTAAAATTAAGGTTGGTACTAGCTTCTCCTTTGCTGGAGCTTATTTTGTTTTGGTTAGGTAAAAATCTTGTAAGTGCAGTACATGCAGTGTTTTGTCTTCTCACTCCGAGTAAACCATGTTCTGCCCCCTGGTGTTCAGTGTATAAGATAAAGCCATAGATGGGTAAAAAATAAAATAGGAAAGCAGATGTTCCTGTTGGCCACCTGCTATAAAGGTACTGTGGCTGTTTACAGCAGATGCCTCTCCAATGTGTCTGTTGTCTAAGGTCAGGGAATGTCCGTGCTTATCTACCTACGTCAGATGTAAGGACCCCTTATGCTCAGGGGTTTATATAGCCCTTGCGAAGTATACCTCTGCTTTAGTTCATTACAGACACTGCAGGGAGACGCAGACTTCTGCACATTGCTATAAGCTCAGCTGCTTATAAGCAATAAAGTTTGGTGCTTTGTAAAACAATTTTATAGCTCTGTGCAGAAAGATCCATTTTATACATGGGCTGGAAAATAAAGCAGAAAAACGTACCTACAATGAAGATTTTGATATCCAAGAAATTTCATCTTCTTAGTCCTGCCATAGCTTTTGTACATCGTGTTGCGAAACACAAAAAGGTTAGTATTTGTTCTACATTTGTTTTATTTAAAACAAAATATAGCCTAGTTTTGCTGCTAAGCACAGCCATTAATACAATAAATTAATTGATAAGTTTAAGGGAAGCAAAGCAAGAAGTAAAGGTTTTAATTTAGAGTTGCCAAGCTCTCCTGATCTTATATCAACAATGTGTTGTGCAGTACTAGGATATTTTGTCTTTATTTACCTTGGGAATGTGTATGAACCGTCTCTGACGGGATGTGTACTGCTGATGTTATTTTAATGTTTTTGTTTTGTTGACTCCCTGTAACTATGTACATTGCTAGTGTGTGATTGAAAATACAAATTATTTTTTCCCTTGAAGGAAATCTTATAAGTTTAAGGACATCTGTGTAAACCATGAAATTAGTATAATTTGTTTTATGGTTAAACAGCAGCTGCAGACATAGACCAACAATGACTCTTCAGCTTTTTTTTAGGAAGGGTGTACAGTAATTTTAAAGGGTATCATTTGCTTCCCAGATTTTCTTGTTGAGATTTTGTTTATTGCTGATTCAACACATAACACATTATCCATTCACTTTTCAATGTGGAGCTTCAGAGAATATTTTGATGTCATTTTCAGATCTGCTTCCATTTTCTTGAAAAAAACTGTGATAGACATTTAATTTACAACTTGAATATTTAAAATAAATCTGTGCCTATTTGGCTAAGTGAAAAACTTGAATTGCATTTTTGTAATTCACTTGTATTTCCCATGTATAAGGTAGACGAACGAAGGGAGAAAGACAGACAGGCAGCACCTGACATGTACAGTATAATAAGTATCTGCAGGGCAGCTGGGGTTACCCAGGATTACTTGTAACAGTATGTTGATTGTGTATTGTGAGCTGCTTATTAGCCCATTGACAAATTTAGAAGGCATGATCTGTGCTAATGTCCATGTTAGATAAGAGCTTGGAGGAGTGGATTAATATCTCATCCTTACATAAAAGCAGTTATGTCAGTTGCATTATGAAAACGCCTTAAACTGAGTCATGGAAACGGAACTATAAGGAACAGGAAAAATTACCAAGCCTAGAGAAGACATGGAGGAAGAATAGCATCCTGTAAAAGGTGTGGAAGCCCATTAGAATGTAAGTATAGTAGGTGAGAGGGCTATATACAGAAGTAGTAGTATGAAAACTTAACAGGTGACCAACATTTGGCTTCAAAGAATTGCTGGATATCTGGAAATGTTTAGTATTCTAGCCCACATTTACGATCTTCCTCATGTGTAGCTAACATTCTTTAAATTTCATTTGACAGCATCCATTTGTGGTGAATGTGGCTGATAACCGGCCTCTTCGAGAGTTGATTGCAGAGGCCAAGGCAGAGGTCACTGAGGAGATAGAGGAGGGTAAAGAGGAGGAGGAAGAGGAAGAAACGGAGCCAGCGCAGGTAAGTCCGTCGGCCCCATCAGAAAACCTCCACACAATCAGATGCAGAGAGGACTTTGTAATTTACAGGGAAACAATTGATGAATGAATAGGTCTGGTACATGTAAAGCATGACCAAAACCCCTTTGAGGAAAATTTTAAGATAATTTTGCACATAGTTTATTGAATGTATAATGATTATAATCATATTAATGATGATAAAACCATTCACTTTTAATTTTAAACAGCACGTGTCTGGCCACAAGAGAGCCCCTTCAGACGCCAGCATTGCAAGTTCTGAAGATGAGAAGCTCTCGCAGTCTGCTTCCATTCTGGAGTCCGTTTCTGAGAAGACTGAGAACATAGAAGACCGGGCCAGTGACAAGCTCTCGGATGAGGGCATAGGCACTAGCGAAGCCGACAAAACGGAGAATGAGAAACTTAACGAGAACAATATTTCTGACACCAGCAATGAGGACATAGGCAGTGGGGAGGAGCTTCTCGTGGACCAAGAGGAAGCACCAACAGAAAGGAAGGAGGAAGATCTTGCGGAGACACCAAGCGCATCGAAGGAAGATGACACTAAGATCGAGGAGACCAAAGAATTGCAAGATGAAAAAGAAAAGGAATCTGATATGGACGAATCAGCACTAGAGATCAGCACAAAGGAGGAAGGAGAGCCTGCAGAAAGCACAGGTGAAGATGTTCCAAAGGAGCCTGCAGTTAAAGAACTCCCCTCACCAGGGCCAGATAAGGAGGCGGCTGTTTTGGTGGAAGATGGTGAAAAGGAGGAGCAGAGTAAAGCCTTGGAGGCAAAGACAGGAGAACAGGGTGAGCCAGAAAAGGTATTGCAGGAGGAGGCAGCTGAAAGGGGACCAGATCCAGTGGAGAGCTCCACTGAAACTGTCCCGGAAGAGCACGGGTCCATAGAGGAGGCTTCTCAAGAGGCTTCTCAAGATAAAGCACAAGCTGCAGATGGGGATATCAAGCCAGCTGCTGTAGAAGACCAAACCATCATTGTTACAGTGACTGAAGCTGAGAAATCCATGGAGGAAACAAAGCCTCCTGTACCTCATGCTGTCAGAAGTGATGATGAAAAGGAAGAGGAGGCAGGGAGGAAACCAGAGGATTCAATCCCTCTCAGTGCTTCTGAAAAAGGAGAGAAGGACAAAGATGTACCAGTGCGGCCTGACATTGAGAAGATTAAAGAAAAGGATTCCGATTCTGGCAGCAGTTCTGCGGCTGAAAACAACAGCATTGACCTGAATTTGTCCATATCCAGCTTCCTTACCAAAAACAAGGATTCTGGATCGGTCTCCATCCAGGTGAGTTGAAGAGACGAGGAATTATATTTTTCAGTTTGCAGCTGAGCTTGTTTTTAACATTTTCTTAACCAAGAAGATTTAACATAAAGGGAGACAAATTTCATATGCTTTCTCCAAAGGAAACAAGGCGACAGAAGAAAACCTTGAAGAAAACCCGAAAATTCATGGTTGATGGCGTGGAAGTCAGTGTCACCACCTCAAAGATAGTCACTGACAATGACACAAAGAATGAAGAAATGAGATTTTTAAGGTACGGAGCTGTAGAGGGGATGTTGTTTTTCACAGGTTATAAAGCCCTGCAGTTATCTTGTTTAGGTTCTATAGATATTCTTTTTTCTTTATTTTTTTTATAAAGCCAGATCCCAGGTAAGGGTATAAAATTCTTAATTTTCAACGATGAAAATTCATTTTAATTCTGTACAATGAAGTGAAAATTAAATGGTCATCTATTTGAACAACAATAGAAATCCAAGTGGGCTGTATCTCAGACTTAAGAAAACAACTGTTTCTAATATAGTTCAACCAGGTAGCTGTGTCAGCATGCATAGGCTGCAAAGGAACAAGTGAACAAGCTTGTTTTTAATGTAGTTCAGCAGTTATGTACAGCAGTGCTGTTGGGTTTTACTACAATGTGTATGTAAACCTTTCTATTAAATAGTCACAATACATGACTTGGTACCACTCTGCACTGATTTCCTTTCCTAGACGCCAGGAACTGCGTGAGCTGAGATTATTGCAGAAGGAGGAACAAAGGGCCCAGCAGCAGCTGAGCAACAAACTACAGCAGCAGAGAGAGCAGATATTCTGCCGGTTTGAAAAGGAGATGACGGTGAGTCAGCCGTGACCCATTCACGGCCTTTCAAAAGTCAGCACTTACTGGGTGGGTAAGTGAAAGTCAATACTGTTACATCAGAAATGAGTGGCCTTTCCCATGTGATCTGGGTCATCTTCCTGCCACCCCACGAGCAATATTTTTTAAAAAAGATCCCTGCAAACAATGTCAAAGAGTACATTCTACGTAGCTTACTTTCATACTTGTAAAGCTCAATCTTGTCCCATTTTGACTGTTCCAATTGTAGACATAATAGTTCTGATTTGTTGACAGGGTAAAAAACGTCAGTATGACCAGGAGATTGAAAACCTGGAGAAGCAGCAGAAACAGACGATCGAGCGCCTGGAACAAGATCATACCAACCGCCTGCG